TGAAGGACTGATGATTTTTGTGTAGTCTGTGGGCACTGATTGCCCCTATGACTGAACTGTGGTCTGTGGATGATCCTTTGTAAAAAAATAATAATCATGCGGCTCCGTGAGGGTCAGTGCATCATCAGATCAATGTTTTTGCTCCACTGCAAAGTCATGAGTTGAAGGGCCCATGATTTCTGTGTTGTAGTCTGTGGACTTTGATGAGTTCTACAATTTGATGGTGGTTTTGAGAGGATCCCATCTAAAAATCATATTGAAATCACAAAGATCCGTGCTTGATTTCATAGACCTGCCTTTTAATTTTTCCCTTTATTGAAGAATAGCTTCAGCTTCTGAAGGGCCTATTTTTCACATTAGATTTCATGTTTACACCAAACCCCATTTAAGCTCCTTTCCCTTGCCATTTTTAATATAAATTATCCTATACAAACCACACTTCAGGCTACTGCAAAGGTAGTTCTGAGTAAGCTGCTATGCCCGTGCCATCGCTTCATTACTTCCGTATAACGATGTTAGCCTCTTACCATGCAACCACTATAAAAGGGAGAACCCTTACGAAAAGAAACGAGGATGGACGCGTCTTTACTGTTCCCTATAGACCCAACAACCTATAGAGAAGAAATAGGACTTTGAAAGTCCCTTTTCTTTTTTCTATCCGCCTTCAGGAGAACAGTGACGGCTGTTCATACAGTAGAAAACAAGAAATCCGAGCCTTCGTGGTAACCTCAGTCCTCCTATTTCGTGGGGTTTGCTAGTTTAAATAGTCTACCCGCAGCAAGAGACGCCCTCCCCTTCCCCCGCCTCAGGCCATGAGCTGCCTAAGACAGGTTTTTAATCCACCTCTTTGAGAGACGGAGGTTCGCCGCGGTCGCTCCCAACAGCCCTAAAGTGTAGACCCACGTCCTGACGGCTGGACTCCCTCGCGCGTGGGTCTGGCGAGACTGCCACATCCCACCACACGCATTTCGGACCGCGTAGCACGTAAAGCGACGCAACCGTCGCCCTCGGTGGCTCCTCAAGACTCCCAGCCGGTGTTCAGTTTGAGGGTGGAGACGCCTCGAGCTTCGGAAACGTTCGCGCCAGGTCAGGAGGAGGCAGCTGTTGCTCCAATTTGGCGGCATGTGTACCGATCTACTGGTTTTGTCTCTATGCTCTGAGGGCTCTAGCGCTGAGCGGACTCGCGGGAAGGGGAAAGAAAACGGCGACGCCGCGGGGTTACGTTTGGAGACGTCACGATGACGCGACGAGGAAGGCGGGGCGATGCCCTGCGGGGCGAACATTCTGGGGAGGTTTCTGTTGACATGAAGCATTCCGCGGGCTAGACATGGAAGGGGCTGTTGCGCTGCTTGTGGCCTTTGTGGCGCTCGGACTCGCGCCTACTTGTACAGGTGAGCCTGAGTCGCCTTCTCCCTTTCCCTCCCACTGACCGGTTCCCTCCCCCCCCCACACGCGCCCTTCTCCTTGGGGCCGGCGAAGTGGGCCGGAGGCTCGTCCCGTTGTCTGTGCGTGGATGGGACGGGCATGAGTGTGCAAAGCTGTGCTCGCCTTCGGTCCGCCACGGCACGCAGGGAAGGCGCTGGGGGGGGGTGTAAGTCCCCAGCCCACCTTTTGGGCTTTGCTACCCCTGGGCCTGAAATAACAGTCTGCTGTACTCGGAAAAAGATCAAGGGAGGTGGTGGCGCTTGCGGGTTAAACCAGCAGTCCTAAGATCGAATTCACAGGGACTTTTCCAGGGAGTCTTCTCTTCTCATGAGATGGCCAAAGTATTGCAGCCTCAGCTTCAGGATCTGTCCTTCCAGGGAGCACTCGGGGTTGATTTCCTTCAGAATGGATGGTTTTGTTCTCTTTGCAGTCCAGAGGACTCTCAAGAGTCTCCTCCAGCACCACAATTCAAAAGCATCAATTCTTGGGCGGTCAGCCTTCTTTATGGTCCAGCTCTCACTTCCATACATCACTACATACTGGAAAAACCATAAGTTTGACTATTCGGACTTTTGTTGGCAAGGTGATGTCTCTGCTTTTTAAGATGCTATCGAAGTTTGTCATTGCTTTCCTCTCAAGAAGCAGGCGTCTTTGAATTTCGTGGCTGCTGTCTCCATCTGCAGTGATCATGGAGCCCAAGAAAATAAAAACTGTCCCTGCCTCCATATCTTCCTCTTTGATTAGCAGGAGGTGATGGGACCAGTGGCCATGATCTTAGGTTTTTTGTTTTTTTTTTTAGCTTCAGACCGTTTTGTGCTCTCTTCTCTTTCACTCTCATTAAGAGGTTCTTTAATTCCTCCTCACCATCTGCATATCAGAGGTTGTTGATACTGTATTTCTTCCGGCAATCTTAATTCCAGTTTGGGATTCATCCAGTCCAGCCTTTTGCATGATGTATTCTGCATATAAATTAAATAAGCAGGGAGACAATATATAGCCTTGTCGTACTCCTTTCCCAATTTTGAACCAATCAGTTGTTCTATATCCAGTTCTAACTATTGCTTCCTGTCCCACATATAGACTTCTCAGGAGATAGATAAGGTGGTCAGGCACTCTCATTTCTTTAAGATCTTGCCATACTTTGTTTTGGTCGTCACAGTCAAAGGCTTTTGCATAGTCAATGAAGCAGAAATAGATGTTTTTCTGGCACTCTCTGGCTTTCTCCATAATCCAGCGCATATTAGCAATTTGGTCTCTAGTTCCTCTCCCCCTTCGAAATCCAGCTTGTACTTCTGGGAGTTCTCAGTCCACATACTGCTGAAGCCTACCTTGTAGGATTTTGAGCATAACCTTGCTAGCATGTGAAATGAGTGCAATTGTACAGTAGTTGGAGCATTCTTTGACACTGTTCTTTGGGATTGGGATGTAGACTGATCTTTTCCAATTCTCTGGCCACTGTTGAGTTTTCCAAACTTGCTGGCATATTGGGTGTAGCATCTTAACAGCGTCATCTTTTAAGATATTAAATAATTCAACTGGAATGCCATCACCTCCACTGGTCTTGTTCTTAGCCAAGCTTTCTAAGGCCCACTTGACTTCACTTTCCACTTCACACTTCTGCTTCTATTAGGTCCCTACCTTTTTTGTCCTTTATCATGTCCATTTTTGCACAAAATGTTCCTTTAATAGCTCCAGTTTTCTTGAACAGATCTCTGGTTTTTCCCTTTCTATTACTTTCCTCTATGTTTAAGAAAGCCGTCTTATCTCTCCTTCCTATTCTTTGGAAAAATGCATTCAATTTTCTGTAGCTTTCCTTATCTCCCTTGCATTTTGTTTCCCTTTTCTTCTCTGCTATTTGTAAGGCCTCGTTGGACAGCCACTTTGCTTTCTTGCATTTCCTTTTCTTTGGGATGGTTTTTGTTGCTGCTTCCAGTACAGTGTTACAAGCTTCCATCCATAGTTCTTCAGGCACTCACCTTTACCTTTACCTTACCGGAAAAAGATCAGGAAAGGGCCACATGGTTTTGGAAACAATATAAATGCAGGAACAAGTGATGTCTTCAATTGACTGTTAAGAATGCAAAACAAAAAAATGAACAGTGAGCTTTTAATGAGAAATCCTCTTCTTCATGGCTGTCATCAAGTTCTTATGGGTAGTTCCTAACGTACATGCTGTTATTAATGTCCCAGATTCACATAGCTGATGATGTTGAGGCCAGGTTTGCTTCTTAGATGGAGATAGTGCAGAATGCAAGTTGGTTTCAAGGTCCCCCTCAGCTAGCAATTTGGAATTGATTGCCCATCTCATAAAACAGAGGGCAGAATGGCAATCTGCTTTGGCCTGGATGAAGTGGCCTCTAGCCCCCAACAGCTAATGACAAGTAAAGCTGGTTAGTCTGTAAAGTGTCACAAGCCTCTTGGTTGTTTTAGGTGCAGCAGATGAACACAATTGTCCCTCTGGAAATGTTACTACTTGTTTTCATTTTTTCCATTTGAGAAATTGAGCTTCTGGTGTGTTATGATAAGCCAGGGCTTCCAGGGTTGTTCTATCAGGGCCAGCCTTACCATCAGGCAGAGTCAAAGGACTGCATCAAATAGCAGGTGTTGGGTGTTCTGAAAAGGGAAGCAATTGTTAAGTATTTTAGTTCCCTCTTTCTCTTCCTACATGTGTATGATGCATGTATGTTTGGATAATCATAAGCATTAGTAATGTATCTTTTTAGTTCCTCCCGAGGATAAGAAGTATTAGTGGGCTGTTCTGTCCCATGTGCCAGAAATATGAAGCTGGTTTTGGATAGTATGATGCCATTTGATTCTTGCCTCAAACACTCTGGCTTCTTTAACCTTCCTATAACTGTAATCTGGCTTTCATGGTGGCAGTTTTTAGGGGACCTCTTTCATCTTGTGCAGACCCTGTTTCCCCTAAAATAAGACCTAACCTGAAAATAAGCCCTAGTATTATTTTTCAGGATGCATATAAGCCCTACTCCCAAAATAAGGCCCATTTTAAGTGAAACCCCACCCTCCACCATTGTGCAGCAACCAGAAGAAGATGACATGACTGTTTGAATAAATATAGATTGTTGTACATGAAAAAATAAGACATCCCCTGAAAATAAGCCCTAATGCGTTTTTGGAGCAAAAATTAATATACAACCCGGTCTTATTTTTGGGGAAACATGGGTAGTCTGTGGGCTCTGATCACCCCTATGATTGGAGAGTACTTTAATGATCCTATATAAAAATCATGTGGATTCCATGAGGATCTGTGTATTGGATATATGTTTTTGCACCACTGCAAAGCCATGCCCTGAAAGACTGATGATTTTTGTGGTGTAGTCTGTGGGCACTGATCGCCCCTATGACTGAACAGTGGTCTGTGGATGATCCTTTGTTTAAAAAAATCATGCAGCTCCATTAAGGTCAGTGCATCATCAGATTAATGTTTTTGAATGGTGGGTTTGGAAGGATCCCACCTAAAAATCGTATGAAATCATGAAGATCTGTTCTTGATTTCATAGACCTGCCGTTTACTTTTTCCCTTTATTGTGTTGTTGAAGAATAGCTTCAGCTCTGTTTGAATAAATGTAGATTGTTGTACATGAAAAAAATAAAACATCCCCTGAAAATAAGCCCTAATGCGTTTTTCGCTCCAAAAAACAATGTAAGACTTTCTCTTATTTTTGGGGAAACAGGGTAGTGGAGAAAAAACTGTATTGAAAATATTGGAGAGGCCTCACGGCAGGTATAAGCATAATCTTTTTTGCTTATTTTTTTTGCTATGATTAGTAATATTTTTCTTTTGCAAACTCAAGATGTGAAAGCTTAGTGGAAGATACAAAGAAAAGGGGGGTTGTAATTATTTTATTGTTTCTTTACTGTTCCTTACGTTTATATCACACTCTTCATCCAGATTGTCAGAGCTCAGAGTGTCTTGCATGACCCCATCTTCCTCACAACAAGCCAATGAGGTACATTAGACCAGAGAGACAATAAAGTGATTCTCATCTCAAAGTTACGTACTGAATGTTCATGACTCAGTAGCAACTGGAACCTTGATCTCCCAAGTCTTTGTGCAAGCTTTGAACTAGTCAACTCTATGTCCATGATTTTTTTAGAACAGTTACTTATTCTGTCATACAGTTAAGCATGTAATGCTTTGTAGGTACATGCACTCCCTCTCTCCCTTTTGGACACCAATTCCCAGAATTCTCCAATAATTCCCTAAGCAGAATTCTGGGAATCTAATCACACACTTGCAGACGTCTCTCTTTTGTTTATCAAGAAAAGGGCCTAGCTGTGAGACTACACCAGCTGCTCTAGCCCTGCTTCCTATGGTCAGTGAAAAAAAGAAAAAGAAAGCTATTGTGGTCCTTCTTTGCCCATTAGGCTCTATAGGCCCTAGGGATGCCTTACATCAGTAATACTTTTGTTTTTACTACTGATGTCACACAACCTGAACAGGTTAATGTTGGATAATTATACAGTGGTGCCTCGCATTACGACGTTAATTCGTTCCAGCAAAATCGCTGTAGAATGAAAACGTTGTAATGTGAAAATAAAAAGCCAATTGAAACGCATTGAAACCCCTTCAATGCATTCCAATGGGCTGGAAACTCACCGTCCAGCGAAGATCCACCATAGGGCGGCCATTTTCGATGCCTGTGCAGCAAGGAATCCGTCCCAGAAAACAGCGGGGAGCCATTTTATTAACCCGGTGACAATTTTGAAACCGCCAATCAGCTGTGTGAAAATCGGCATTTTGTGAAGAATCGGTTCCTGAAGCAGGGAACCGATCATCGCAAAGTGAAAAACCCCTATTCAGACCATCGTTTTGCAATCGCAATTGCAATCGCAAAAAGATTGTCGTAATGCAGGGCAATCGTAAAGCAAGGCACGACTGTATTTCTACATTATGCACAGTCCCCTGCATTGTCTTGTCCCTAACAGAGCCACATATATAAAATAATTGTCTTCAAATTGCCCAGAAGTGTTAATTTGAAGCAAGTTAGTCCTGATATGGATCTTCATAAAATGTTGAGATGCAGTTGGCAGAGGAAAAAAGAACCATTAAAATGAACAATATTTCCATAAGCTTTGAATATTGAAAAAGTATAACTTATGGAGGAATTAAAGGAATCAGAAATGTTAAGCTCATAGGACCTTTAAAAAATACTGTTTTCAGTTGGGAAAACAATTTAAATCAAAACAATTTAAAGTCAAATCAAATCTTGTCTTGACATGTATATGCTAAAAATGTAAACCAGAACACTTAAACATTACAGAAATTACAGAATGCATGTTTCACTTCCTTTCTGTGGATGCCTGCAACGTTCTGCTACTGCTGCATTTTTTGTTTCTTGTGTCCTCCTTTCATGTCCTGTGCCTACAAGCAAGAGAAGTGAACTTTGCAATGTATACAAATGTATAAATTAGAACCCCTATTAAGTCTGTGAAGTGAAAGGTGGTTTAATGCTTTTTAGCTTCAGGAAGAGTTTGTCCACTGATATACTGTAGTCACCAAAGGTTCTGATGTTTTTGAATTAAACATACCTGATAACACGTGAAAGAATATGATGAGTACAGAATAATGGGGAATTAGATAATTATATTTATTAAATAAGTACAACTCACCTTTGAGATGAAAGAAAAATGTATACCAGGAAACTACTACAACTACTACTACTACTAATAATTATACTAATATTACTACTACTACTACTACTACTACTACTACTACTACTACTACTACTAATAATAATAATAATAATAATAATAATAGCCTAATATAAAAATACATTGTGTCTAGAATATATGCATTTTAATGCTTTAAATATATGCTATATATATATACTATACAGTGGTGCCTCGCTTTAACGATTACTTCGTTAAACGACAAATCCGCTTGACGATGAGTTTTTTGCGATTGCTTTTGTGATCGCAAAATGATGTTTCAAACAACGTTTTCGCTTCCCAACGATTGGTTCCCTGCTTGAATCGGGAACCGATTCTTCGCATTATGACGATCAAAACAGCTGATCGTCGAGTTTCAAAATGGCCACCTGCTGTGTAAACTGGCTCCCTGCTGTGCTGTAGGATGGATTTTTCACTTTACAGGTTCCCGAAAATGGCCACCCTATGGAGGATCTTCGCTGGATGCTGAGGTATTTAGCCCATTGGAACGCATTGAACCGGTTTTCAATGCATTTCAGTGGGCTTTTTTATTCCGTTTGACGAGGATTTCGGTCTACAGCGATTTCGCTGGAACGGATTATCCTTGTCAAGTGAGGCACCACTGTATATGCTCTCTCTCTCTCTCTCTCTCTCTCTCTCTCTCTCTCTCTCTCTCTCTCTCTGTATGTATGTATGTATGTATGTATGTATGTATGTATGTATGTATGTATGTATGCATTAAAATGCATGTGTATATATATGCATTTTAATGAATGTATATATGTATATATAAATATATATACACAAAAAATATAGAGCATATATGTATGTATGTATGTATGTATGTATGTAGAGAGCATATATAGTATATATTTAAAGCATTACTGTAAATGCATATATATGCATTATATATGGACAAATACAAACTTGTATAATGTGTCATTTCACTTACTGGAGAGCTGTTCCTTGAAGTGTACCAAAAGTTTTATTGATTTTTTGCTGACTGAAAATTGTAGTCAAGTTGCAAGCATAACTTTTTTTGTTCTTCTCCGAAATATCTTTAGGGTTAATATGTTTGGAGCAACCGTACAACATCACTGTCCACATTATTAATGCAAATATCATTCTGAAATGGAACTGGGATAATCCATGTGGTCTTAATGTAACCTTTTCAGCTTGTTACGAAGAGTAAGTTTCCAGTTTACTATAACTTGCAACTGATATTTTTGAAATGTTGTTGGGACTTTGGGTTTAATATGTAAGTCCATATGTTGATATGTCCTCCAACGAAAATGTTTCCAAGATGCTGACCAAAACCCTTCTGGCATTTTATATGTGCACAAGAGGAATGGCATATGTTTTCATGAAAAATAGCAGCTAAACTGTTGAGGTGCTAACATATTACTGACTTGACAGTTAATCACTCACATTTTGTACATTTGCTAGAATATCTGCACTATTCCCAGCTGTGTAAACCTCTGCAAGTACAGTATAAGCATTCTATATACAGTTGTGAATTATGTTTCTCCTTACTGCCTAACTGCTCTTAGGTTGTGGTGCAGGACAGAATCCCACATTTCACAATTCTACTTCTCCTAACAATCACTTTCTTCATGAACATATGGAGGGCCAGAATCTTTATTATATGAATGGTGGGAGAAAGCTTGGAAGATAGAAATGACGTATAAGAGTTTTCTTCATAACAAAATACTTTGGAAAAGAGCAGTTAAGATTCTGGTATCCCCCTTTTTATTTTGCATAGTTTAATCATGTTTTTAGCATGTATACATTACTGAAAAGAAATAGCACCGTCTACATTGGCTTGGGCATGTTGTGAGAATGGCTGATGGTTGGATTCCAAAAGATCTCCTGTATGGAGAATTAGTGCAGGGAAATCACCCCAGAGGGAGACCACAGCTGCGTTACAAGGACATCTGCAAGTGGGATCTGAAGACCTTAGGAATGGACCACAACAGATGGGAAACTTTGACATCTGAGTGTTCAGCCTGGAGGCAGGCGGTGCATCATGGCCTCTCCCAATTTGAAGAGACACTTGTCCAGCAGGCCGAGGCAGAGAGCCAGTCCTGAAAGCAGCAAAACCAGGGAGCTGGACAGGGGACAGATTGTGTTTGTCTTCAGTATGGAAGGGATGGTCACTCTCGACTTGGCCTTCTCAGCCACACTAGACGCTGTTCCCAGACCTCCATACAGAGCACGTTACCGTAGTTTCTTGAGACTGAAGGATGACTACAACAAGTTTAATCAGATTTCAAAAAGGAGTAAAAAGCAAAAATGTTGTTTTTTGGAATCTGGTTAAATTACAGAAAAACTCACAATGGGAGTCCACTGCTCCCAAAATGTGATTGAATTGGGTTTGACTTTAAATCTTGAATTAGAAGATTTTGCTAGTAGTTGAATTCCTGGGCCAAATTGTCATTTGTCAAATAGCTTAATGAGTGAAATAAAAAAGGAAAAGTGACTCATGGGTTAGTCAAGAACTAACATAATTGATTAATAACATCAAAAGCTAGCTGCTTATAGAATAAATATTTTAGTACTTTATATATTCATGAGTAAGTAGTTTCTTTTCTCCCTTTTAACTATTGGGAATCACTGATTTATATCCTCAGACTTGGGTTGCTTTATTACCTGAATGCTTGTGGGCTCATGAAGCTTGTATTTTGAATGCCTTTCTTTTGAATGTCTCCAGCAAAAATAAAACTGAAAGCTAAAGCGCCCAGCCTCTTAAGGAGCCACGGTTCCCTCTCACCCTAGGATGTGTCCTTGTTCGGTTGAAATTGAGATCAGGAAATCTTCATATTCTCCAGCATGGGACTACTCTACATTCTCCTGAAGAGCTATATCTCTATGTGCTGCTCAAACTCTCTTCTCGCAAGAAGAGAGCAGATTCCTTTTTGCAATCAGAGGGGGAAGGGGAGGACTGCAGGATTAGAGAGGGAGGCGGAGGGGAAGGAAGCAGGCAGGGAGGGAGCTGTGAGACTTTGGGTTTAATATGTGGATGAGTGCATTTTGCAATCCCTGCACATGTTGTTACTATACATTGTGTCTGTCCATGTACATCAAAATAAAAATGATTTAGAATCCTGGGGGAAGATAGCCATGTAAGCAGCCAACATGCACCAAAAGAGAAGGTGATTTGCAAGATAAAGTTGTAGGTGTTAATTTTTCAGCCTTCCCACCAATGACATTTTCTCTGTAAACCATACCCACCTACTTCCCCTGTGAAACAGTAAACATGAAGAATATCTGAGAATAAAGGTTACCAAGAGGAAGACTGAAAATGTTTGGGCGGTTAGCCTGTTTCCCTTTATATGTGATTTCTCACCTGTTGCCATTGCTTTGCAATTGTTGGGTGAAAATGCATTCATGTTACCTTATGTCTAGTTGTAATTTAGCTGAGATAAATGGTGCAGCAAAACTGACAAAGCCTGTGGCTACCAGCTAGTGAGAGATACAGACTGAAATTGAAATACATTTGATCAGGAAGTCTTACAAATCCATGATTTATGAGAACTTGTTTGCTTTTTATTACCTTCTCAGATTACAAGAAGATGGGGAAAAGGCTATATCAGAGTGTCAGAATGTAACTATCACAGAATGTGACATCTCATCAACAATAATAAATTATCTTCATGAACATATTGTCAGCGTAAGAGTAAACACCGCAAAAAATCATTCTTCTTGGGCCTCTTTAAAATTTTGGCCTAGTATAGAAGGTATAAATCTATGTCTTGCTTATTTGTATTAAATTGTATCCAATTGTTTAAAATGGGTTTAGTAAGCAACTATACATTTTTCTTGGTTACTTGTCTGACTTTTTGTTAACAATGGCTCAACATAGGTTTATCTCTGAAAGTACAAAATAATTTTCTAGCCATTGCCTCAAATCTTGTTTGTTTGTTTTTTCACACTTATCATATGTATGGTTGTCCTTCCACAGCAGTTGTGTTGGGGTTTTCACAATGCCCGTGCACATATTTAAAACCTGTTGTGTTTAAAAGGGTGATCTTTGGTGTATGTAACTGCAAAGCCAGAGATCACTGAAGCTGTCACGGAGCTCTGCACCTATAGAGTACTTACTGTATGCTCTGTGATTGCCAGTAGGATTCTGTGCATTGTAAAACTGTCTCCCTTTGCTGTGCAACACATGTACGGCAGGGCTTATTTCGGGAATTGCATTGTTCCCCAGCAGCCTAAGTAACCTCCTCATTTTTCTGCTCCGTCCTTGGAAAGAATGGCAGTTAATCCCTTTAGGACTTCTATCCTTTCTGTAATGAGACAAAATGAGAAATTAGATGCATTATTATTCCACAGTAGCAGCCACTTCCTGTCTCCCCATCCATTGGGTCTTATTGTTTAGAGGGTTAAACAGGATGTATATCAGATATGCAATGCTTCACGGTTATATTACCTTGATTTTTCCTGCACACATCACCTCTTTCCTTATAGTCCTCATGACCAAATAAAATGTTACATAGGAAAGATGTAACTTCATGGCCCGCTGTGTGTTTGTCTTTCATGAAATACAGTAAAGAAGGAAAATGCTTTTCTCCTGCACTGTTTGCTTGCTCAGAGTGCTCTCTGTTATTGTTTATCTGTCTGGGAAAGGCCCATTTTCCCATTCAGTGACAAACAGCAGCTGGGGGTGAGAGGAGAATTATCTGCTGTGATCTAACTGAGATCCCCTCCCTTGAGAAAAACAAATGATCAGGACATACGGTCACAGAATGTCTAGCATATAGGCGCTGTTGTAACCTAACTCAACAGCAAAGAGATTGCTGAAGAATCACTAAGCCCTCACCATACTGGTTACACTTTCTGGAAACTGAAGTCTAATAACATTTGGGGCTGTGGTCCAAATCGCTGCCAGCCTAATGATTTGATGATGAGGTTAATAATAAAAATAATAAAGTCACAGGTTTTGGTACTTTGGTATAGTTATTGTAGCCTGATAGGAATCTTTCAGTACTGCCTTTTTGCCCCATGATATTCTAATAGCTCTGGGCGAATTAGTTAATATTTCTGAAGTTTTCACATGACTGTGATTGGACCATGGCAGAAAGTTTGAGGTTGCAGTGCCGGTGTTATTAAGTCAAGCTATGTTCTGAGCCACTGTGGAGAATTAAGATATAGCTATATCTAAAGCTATATCTGAACACCTTTGCTGATTTCAGAAGTGAAGCCAAGGTGACCCAGCTGTATATAACCAAAAGGCAACACCAGGGATCTCAAGAAAGAATCTTGCTTTGAATCTTAAAGAGTCATTGTCAGTCAGAATTGCCAGTACTAGACTAGATAGACAAATGTTCTGTCCTGGTATAAGGCTGCATACACTGTTCCTGGGATTGTTTGTTTGTTTGTTTGTTTGTTTGTTTGTTTGTTTGTTTGTTTGTTTGTTTGTTTGTTTGGCTTTTATACCATCCATCGATGAATCTACTCTGGGCGGTTTACAGTCTAAAAAAGCAATAAAATTAAAAATATCAAAAAAAAAAAACCTAAAACAAGCAAACATAATCCAAGATGGAAAAACCAGGGGAAGAAATTAAATAATGTCTGGAGGGAAGGCCTGCCTGAAGAGCCAGGTCTTCAGTTTATTCTTAAAAACTCACAGCAAAGGAGCCAGGCGGATCTCAGGGGGAAGGATGTTCCAAAGGTGAGGGACCACCGCCAAGAAGACCCGGTTTCCAGTTTTGCACATGGACAAGTGTGGTGAGCACCCCAACATCAAGAGAGGAACGCAACTAGGCAATCCGCCGAAGATGTAAATGGGTGCTATGAATCACTGACATTACCTGGGATTCCATGGCAAGCGCCAGGTCAAGGTGGACCCCCAAGCATTATTTAACTTAACAAATCCTTCTCCTTCAAGTAATTTGTTGGTATAAACCATTACAAAAATATTATTTATTTTTTCCACTTCTTTTGTGAAAAACAGGATTGGTAAGAAATTGGTGTAAAACTCTTAACAATTTCACTCAGGGTATCTAAAAAAGCCTAAAACTGTCATTGAAAAACAACATTGTCTTAA